ATATATATATATATATATATATATACATATATGCATATGTGTTGTTGTTGTTGTTAAGTGCCATTGAGTCAGTTCTGACTCACAGCAACCCTGTCTAGAGTTTCCAAGGAGTGGTTGCTGAGTTTGAACCACCAGCCCTGCAGCTCAAACTGACCTTGCAGTCCAGAACATTAATCTGTAGCACCAAACTAGGACTCCTCATATTTGTTGTTGTTACTAAGTGCCATAAAGTTGATAGTGACCCTGTATAGGGTTTCCAAGGAGCAGCTGCTGAGCATGAACCACCAACCTTGCAGTTCAAACGGCTTTGCAGTCTGGCCCATTAACCCACAGCGCCATACCAGGACTCCATACATATATATAGATGAGTATATTCACCACCATAAAAATTGTCTTAATGTTGAATGAAATGTGAAGAAAATATGTGGGTTTTTTTAAAAAGCAATGAAATGTGGTGCTTAAAAATCAAGAAGAGGCTATAAAGTAAAGAAATACAATATTATGATCAAGAATGACAAAGTGGGGGGAGGGCATGAGCAAAGACCCCTGCATTTATGTAGCATAATGAGAATAGGAAAGGCCCCGCTGGGGAAGTTACATTTAGGTGGAGGGGAGAGCATGTGAAAAGGCAGGGGGGTGGGGAAGAACCTAAGAAGGCATGCAGGGATGAGGCCCTCAGCAGGAGTGGGTGACAGGTATGAGCTGAATAAGGAGAGATCTTGGAGAGTCTAGGATTTTACTACAATGCTAAAATCACAATGGAAAACCACAGAAGGGTGCTAACCCAAGGAAAGATGCGGCCGGTGTTTTCACACATCACGAAGGCTTCCCCAAGAGACGAGGTCTGAAGGGGATGATGACAGAGCCCAGTGCCACCTAACGGGTCAGATAGGTGGACAGTGCCTTTGGCGGAGCTGGGAAAGTGGAGGAGAGGTGTCCAGAGCCCTCACTGATCTTCAGGAAGGCAGCAGTGAGCCAGTGAGTGATGCACTTGCTGGACATGGGGGAAATGTGGCAATGAAACCCCCTGCTCCACCCCGCTTCCCCAGGCCTGTCAGTCCCAGCTGCCGCTTCCACCACCACCACTGACAGCCCGGAGTCAGATGGGACTTGAGTTTCCAGCTGCAGTCTATACTCAGACCTCACCCAGGGCTGACTCTGGGATGTGCACAGAGAGCGAGCTGATCAAGGCCAGCCCAGTAGGGTCACACAGACCTATAGAAACCTCAGAGGCCACAGCCCAGCTGTGAGCAGAAGGCTGAGTACTTACAGCAAGGCATAGTTCTCTGCTTCTGCTTCCCCCAGGTACTCCCCAAGTGCAGGGTCTCTGACAAGCTCACCGACAAGTAGGACCTCCCTCTTGTACCCATGCGCACGCAGTGAGAAGAGGAGACAGAGTGTGAGCGAGAGGCAGGTTGGGTCTGCCTCCTGAAAGACAGGTCTGCCTGTTGCCAGAACAGCACCACTGTGGGCATCTTGGTGCCAGGTGGCTGGGACTGGGGAGGAGAGCAGGCCTGGCTGGAGCAAAGCCAACGCTAACTGAACTGTCCTGGAATTCCTTCTCCATCCAGAGCAACTGGTCACAGAGAACCCGAGGGCCCGGGGACAGAAGAGAACAGGAGGAGTTAATACAGGGAAAGGCCCTTGGTCTCAGCTGCCAGGCCCTGCTTGAGCCCTTCTGGGGAGAAGGCAGAAACCCCAGCGTCAGTGAGCTCATCAAAGAAGCAATCCCCCTATGGAGTGACCTTATGGTTACCAGGCAGAGGAGAGGGAACACCCCCTTGCTGCAGGGAGGTAAATCCCCTTCCAAGGTCATCTGGATTCGTGGAGTCCACCAGGAGGACAAGATTATTGTTGGACCTCAATTTCTTCAGCAAGGACTCCTGGTGTGGCGCTGTAGGATCAACACTGGACTGCGAACCACAAGGTCAGCAGTTCAAACCCACCATCTACTCCTCAGAAACCCTATACAGGGTCCCTACAAGTTAGGATCGACTCGACGGCACTTAACAACAACAACAGCAACCTTTGTCCAAGGGAAGGATGACCCCTAAATGGTTTTTCCAGCAACAATCCTCAAAAGACCAAAGAAAAACAGTTCACTTCTTGACCCACGCCCTCAACCCGAGACTGAAACCAGAGCTGATGGTAAGCCTCAGATTCCACTAGTTGGGCCAAGGTTATCTCTCTTGGCCTTTGGAATTTGGGGCTGAATATTTTCAGAGCCCACCCAGGGTCTGATGCTCAGAGCCCTGATGTTCTCACCAACCAAGCACGTGGCCATGTTGCTGAGCTTCCTCCAGGACCCGTACATCTGGGAAGCAGCTGCTATCACGATTTTCTCACAGAACTCTGTTCTCTGTTCCCTGTGGGGGAATTACCCAGTGGGGACCTGGGGATGAGGCCATGTTAATTGGTCCATTAGCAACAGGACAGCACCTATGGTCATCCAAAGGGGTTGGATTTTCCTTGCCCGGCACTATCAGTGTACCCGACTCTGAGCTGGTTCCGGGGAGTAGCCAGGGTGTGGGTGAGGTCTCATCCCTACCCTCCAGGAATCTTTAAGGGGGTGGCCACCACGTAAAGGGTCTTTCTGGCCTCACAGGATTGTCCCTATAATAACCACAGAACAGTTGCTCAGAGAAGAAGTAAAGGCCGAGGTTCAGGGGTTTAGTGGTGATGGAGACAAAAGCTCGAGGCCCAGCGCTCCCTGCCTGGGCCTTCTCAGTGCTGCCCACACTCTCCGGAAAAAGTCACCCTATCCTGTCCAGTTTCACCTGGAGACCCTCCCCTTCGGAGTCCCTGACTGCAGCAAGACTAGTGGAGGGCTGGCATTCCTGCTGTGAGACCAAGGGGGGGCTACAACCTCACCTTCCCTGTCTCTGGAGAAGACCCCATTCCCCCAACCCACAAATGCACATTCTCACACACGTACACACACATGCCCCCAACCCCCACACACTCATCCTCACACCTTTTCACACATGTATACACACTTGGAGTCCTGATGTGATGCTGTGGGTTAATGCGCCAGACTGTAAAACCATCTGAATGGCACTTCACAACAACAACATACACATTCACATGTTCTCACACACTTACACACACTAACGTGGCAGCTGCAGCCACTCTGACCCACACACATATTATAAATCCCTGAAAGCCCCTTTTAAACAGCCTCTTTCAGAATGTGCTATCCAGCTGGCTTTAGGTCTGAATTGTATGCCCATATTGGATGGTCATGTAACTGTTCTTCCCAAACCCTCTGTGGTGTAGATTGAGCTCAGGCCCTGCCTGGCTCTGGGAATACAAGTTCAATTTTATACGCTGTCTTCACCCACACACACCCACCCCCTCTTCCCAGTGGTCCCTGGGAGCCAGGCCCCTGTTTTTCGGAGAACGTGAACTGTTAAGTACCTGGCACACATTGTAGTGCTCAAAGAGAGACAAAAAGCCCACATCACTGCGTGCGGCAATGCCTTTGAGAAGCGTGATGTTCCCGTTCCCAGAATCCAACTCAACCACATCGTTGAAAACATTGGACACGGCTTTCCCGGTCAGGAGCAGATTGACAAGTTCCTGTTGATGAGAGAAAGGAGGAAAGCCTATCAAGTCTCAGGATCAGATACTAAAAGCGTGGGGGGGAACGGGAGGGGACACTGGGAACAAGAAAGAAAAAGGGTGGAGAAGGAAGGAAAGCTGGGTTAAAATCAGAGGAGGCTATGACCTCAATTTCCCCACCAGCCCTGAGGGGAAAGCTGCCAGTTTCTCATTGAAGCTACTCGCGGAACTCACCGATCTTTATTCAGCCAGAAATTAGAGAGCACCAACTGTGCCCAGGACCCTGTCCTAAGCCCTGGGGTTATGGTAAGACCTGGCTTTAGCGCTGGAGTGGGGGAGCAAGCCAGCACGGCCAATCTACAGACATGAAGAGAGTTGTGCCAACATGAACGTAGAACATTCTGGGGTTTGGATGGACGCACATCTCAGCAGCTTTGTGAGGAGAAGGCACTGGGTGGGTCTTGAAAGATGGTGGTTTTTATTTCAGACAAACATTTCATTTAGAAATAACTTTAGACATCGTAAGAAGTTATAAAAATAGTACAGAGAGTTCCCGTGTCCCCTTCACCCAGCTTCCCCCAATGATAACATCTTATATAACTAAAGTACATTGTCAAAACCAGGAAATCGACAATGGGACAATGCCACTAACTGAACCAGAGGCCTTGCTCAGATATCACCAGTGATGGGGGCAAGGGCTACACAGGGCTGGGGAGGGAGCAGAGGAAGACAGCTCAGGAGCAGAAATGGCAGAAGCTGGTGGCAGGGAAGTCAAGTCTGGCTCTAGCTGTCTCCACATCACCTGGCCACCGCGGCGAGGCATTAGACATCACGTGACCCCATGACTCAGGCCACTCACCCTACCAGCCAACAAGTATTTTCCCTGCAGACTCCTTTATCCTCTACATCCTGTGTTAAGACTGGACCATCAGGACTGGAAGGGCACCTAGGGTCCGATCTCCTGTGAGGCATCTAGGGTCTGATCTCCTGTGAGAAATAGGGAAACTGAGGACTCAAGTAAGCGCCACAGCTGACTTGGGACATAACTGACACACACCCCTGCCCTGTGAGTTTCCTGGCTCCCTGTCCAGGGTCCTTCCCTGCTACTATCCAGGAGCCACCCTAGCTAACCAAAGAGCAGTGAGTTCTGAGACTGTGAGTTCTGCAGCACTGAGGAAGCACTCCAGTCGGGACCCTCTGTCTGATCCACCTTCTGCAGGGTCGGTGCCATGTGTGTGACCAGCAGGGGGGAGCATCTCGAAGGGCTCGTGGGAACGGCCACACAGCTGCCCTTTCCTTTCTCCAGTGTCCACTCTGGAGGACACAGTTTATGAAAGTGCTTTCCCTTGATTGTGAGAATGACATCCGGGGTTAATAACTCCCTCAGTGAACACCAACACCCCTGTCCCAGTGACAGTAAAATAGGCCCCATCGAATGGGCGCCATGGGGCCCGCATTGGAGAGAGATAGCGGTGGGCCTCATTGTGTCCCTCCAGAGGAAATGAGAAAATAATTTGGAGGAAATGTCTGCTCAGAGATATTGCACCTCTAGGGCAGCTGCTGTTGAGAAAGGTTTTCAGATGGGTCAGAGCTCTCCCCATCTGGCTAGGCCTCAGTCTGGGACTGGCTCAAGCTCCACTCTTAGCAGGAAACCTTCTTGAGATGGTGAAGGTTTACATGCCTCTCCCTGCCCCAGCCTCAAAAATCACACAATGACAATTTAGTGGTCATTTAACTTCTCATTACTCAAGGTGCGATCCATGGACCAAGCCTCACTGGGAAGCCTGTTAGAAATGAAGACTCTTGGGTCCTAGTCAGGCACACTGAATCAGTACCAGTTCTGCAAAAATAAAAACCTCTAGCACTCCTGTGCATGGGCAAGTTTCAGAATGAGTCTGAAAGTCTCATTCTACAAATGAGGAAACTGAAGCTCAAAGAAAGAAAGACAAGTTACCCCAAATCTCTCTGCAAGGGAGACAGAGAACAAGGCGGAGCCAGTTCCAGACTCAGACCTAGCATCCATCCTCTCCATCCGATATCCTCCTCTGGGCACACCATTCTTTGCCCTGTGCAAGGGGAAGCTCCCACAGGGAAGATAGGCACCAAGAATGAAAGCTGGACCAACTGGGCAGCCACTTCCCTTGAGGCCATTCTACGATAGGCAGGCAGTGGCCAGCTTCATGGGCCCTCAGGTGTCCTGGACAAATTGAGAGCCCTGAGGTCACCCCCACATGGTGCCAAAGAGTTGTTTCGAGCTGGCATAAGTGTGCCAGGGTCCATGGACAAAGTAGTCAACCAGGCTGAGCAGCTTGATCCAGCCTATCCAAGCTACACATTCTGGTTACCATCAGCCACTGAGAAGATCCCTGGGTGGTCCAAATGGCTTGCTCTCAGCTGGTAACCAAAAGAAGTCCTGGTGTGGCGCTATGGGTTAATGTGCTGGATTGCAAAGTCATTTTGAACCACAAGGTCAGCGGTTCAAGCTCACCAGCCGCTCCTCAGAAACCCTATAATGGGTCACTAGCTCTGGTAGCATAGTGGCTACGAATTGGGCTGTGAAGCTTAAGGTCAGCGGTTCGAAACTACCAGCTGCTCCGCAGGAGAAAGATCAGGCTTTCTACTAGCGCAAAGATTTACACCCTCGGAAACCCTGAACAGGGTCGCTATGGGTTGGAACCGACTCGACGGCACTTAACAACAACAACAATGGGTCAAAAGGAGCTCTGGTAGCGTAGTGGTTACAAATCAGGCTGCGAGCTGCAAGGTCAGCAGTTCGAAACTACCAGCGGTTCCGCAGGAGAAAGATGAGGTGGTCTGCTCCCTTAAAGATTTATAGCCTTGGAAACCCTGTGTAGGGTCACTATGAGTCGGAACCGACTCCACGGCACATAACAACAACAACAACATGGGTCAGAAATGATTTGACAACACTTAACAACAATAGCAAGAACCAAAAGGTTGGGGTTCAAATCAGTGCCATGGACAAAAGCCTGGCAACCTGCTCCAGGATCATTACAGCTAAGCAAACCCTATGGGGAGCAGTTCTCCTTTGTAACACATGACGTCACCATGAGTCAGCACTGACTTCATCAGCAATGGGCTGATGCCACTGAGCATTAGATGTGTCTGTGGCCCACGTGGTAACTTTGGGGGGCGGGGGGGTCTTGCTGTGGAAGGACTGACTCAGCCCAGGTGTAGGACTTGGTTCCCGGTTCTGATGCCAACTAGGTAAGCCTTTGAACGCGTCCTTTCTTCTGGTGTCACCTGAGCAACTAGAAGATCAGGACAACCAGATGGCTCAGAGGCTCTTCCATGGAGACGCAGACAGAAGGGTTGCTATAGTTACAGCACACATGCACCTGTGAAAGGGGCACCATGACCATCGTCTCTCAGTATCGCTCACCTGGTGGCTGGGGCCCAGCACTTTTCCCTGAACTCGGAGCTGCACAGCTTCTCCTGTAGCTTTGATGCAGCACATACATACTCCAGAAACAAGAGCTAAGCTGAGTTCTTCCTGGGTCTCCCTCCAGTGAAACCAAGCACAGGCTGGCCCCATGCAGCAGCTGGGAGAGCACTGGCAGGGGGCGAAGGAGAAGTGGGGCCAGGGGAAGAAGAAAGACTGACCCGCCAGCTTGCACCCCCGTGCCCCTTACCTGGGTGCAGTATCCGTGCGCACCAATCAGGTGGCTGGTGGGGACATCGAAGTCCTGGCGAATTCTGGAAAACACAGGAAATGTTAGCACTTCTTTGCCTGGTGCAGGCTGGCCGGGCACACCTATGGGAAGTGATTCCGGAGTTCCAGGCCTTCTGCACTTGGAAGGCACCTGAGGGCTCTGTGTCTGCACCCTCCAGAGAGGAGCCTCCCTCCCAGAAGCACATAGGGCCAGAGCCCAGGGCTCCCAGTTTAGCTTGCCATGCTTTCTGGGCAATGGTCCCCCCTCTGCTTTGCAGCACACAATGTCCTGTCTTCATACCCCTCCTGTCACCTGCCAGTGGAGACTGATGGGGATTGTGACATTCCTTTCCATCTCTGAGCCTCAGTTTTCAAATTTGTTCAATGGGAGGAATGGTTTCTGAAGCCTCTGTGAGCACAAACCTTGTCCTAACACTGTACACACAAGACCCATTAAAGTGGGTCCGGCCCCCCTGCAGTGGAGCTGGTGCCCCTGTAGTACCTGTGTCCCCCCCAAACTTGTGTTACCACTGTGACTCTACACTTACAATGGATCCCCCACAAGGGCATGTGGTAAAAAGCTCACTGTCAAAAGGGAGGGATTTCTAGGGCTGGGGAGCGAGACAATTTGGGGTGTCGTGCTCAGCAAGGGCCCTGTCACATGGGGCATGTGACGTGACAAACTGTAGGGTTGTCAAAACACTCTCCTTGAATTTCAAAACTTTCCTCCTCATGTTCCTGTGCCAATATCGTAGTATAGTGTTTACTTTGTTGTTTTTGTTGATGTTCGCTGATATCCAGTCAGCCCCGTTTACAATGGACCAAAATGCTGCCCAATTAATGTGCCTTCCACATGACCGGCTGCAGATTGGACTATATTCCATTGTGACCCATAGGATTTCACTGGCTAAATTTCGGAAGTAAATGGCCAGGCCTTTTTTCCTGGCCGTCTTAGTCTGGAACATCCACTGGAGGCTGTTCAGTATCATAGCAACACACAAACCTCCACTGGCAGATGGGTGGTGGTCGGGAATCAGCCTCTTTGGAAGACTAGCACAGTAGTGGTGCATACTGGGTAAGCAGGAAAGGAACTGCCGTCTATTGTGCATGCTCAGTGAGTGGCCATTTCAACCCACTAGCTAGCTGCCTTGCAAAGTTGGAACCATTACCTCAATTTGAGGACGTGGAAACCAACTCTGATAGGTGAGAGACGGACTCCCAGAAACACACTGCCTTGTCCATCCCCCACCCACCCCCAGCACTATGTGCAGCACCTTGCTGCTTCCCTCACCCCACCCCAAACAGAGTCCAACAGGCGGCCCAGGGGTAGGAAGGACTTTCATCTTTGCTTTTAGTGGACGAGAAGAAAACATGGTCTCAATTTAGGCTTTTAATCTAAGATCTGCCACAAATCCACAAACCTAAGACATACACCCTGGCCCCTTGTACCCTTCCCAGATGGGCTTAGAAACTCCAATTCCCTGACCCTTGTGGGGAAAAGGCTTTCTTGTGGTTTTTAATAACTCTGGCCCGTCTGGAAAGGTTGTGGTCCAGTGCCTTGGCTGTTCCAGGGGCCCAGCCAATCACTCTGGAGGCTCAGGGTCGTCTGGGATGGGTCTCTACAGCTCACCCACCACACACAAGCCCAAAGGCCTGGGAAGGAGCTAGCGAGGGCTGAAGAATTGATGGAAATGCTCTCTCCACAGATCCAAGCATCTTCTGAAGAGAAGAAAATAACCCCAAAGGAATCCTGGGTGAACTGATAAGCATCGCTGGCCACAAGCCACCGCAAAGCTTTCAGAAGCAGTTAGATCTTCATAGTCCCATAGCCCGGTGTTCACCCAGCACTCAGCGGAGCCTGCGTCAGCCGGCAGCTGAGGGACACGCTGAAAGGACAATGGGAGGAAGTGGTAATTGCATCCTTAGGTGCAAACACGATGGGAAATTCAAAAGTGGGCTTGGATCTTAAAAGAGAGCAGCATCTGTATTTCACATTAGGGCATTCGAGAGACGCCAAGGAGCAGCTTATGGCTTAAGAGATTTACAACTTTGGCAATTCTAGATGCCCAGGCCTCCCTCAGAGGGAATTCCCCCGAGAGATGAGTGTGAGGAGTTCAGATTGAGGAACACACTGCTGCCCTGCCGGGGGAAGTCTGTGCACATAGCATGGCCGTTAGAAGGCCGGAGCTCTAGCCCTGCCACGCTCAGGTCTGAGTTCTAGCCTGTGCCTCTTTGGGCTTTAGTCTCCATGCACTTGAACAAGTCTCCTTAGTCTCCATGCACTTGAACTCCAGGCCGCCTGTTGGATGCCTGTTGAACATCTTTCAAGTTCAACTTTGTAGGTAAAGCCTAATATATTGTTATCTTGTTTTTAAGTGCCATCAAGTCAGTTCCAATTCATAGCAACCCTGTATAGGGTATCTGAGGAGCAGCTGGTGAGTCTGAACAACTGACTTTGTGGTTCCAACCAACCTTAAGGTCAAGTGTTTATCCTATGGTGCCATACCAGGACTCCAAAGCCCAATATATGAGACATGAAAGCAGCAAGTCTGGTTGAAGACTGATGGAGAGCTGGTCCCATTCTTCTACTCTTTGCCAGTTCCTGAAGCCCCTCTGGGGAACCCCTAGGTCTCTCTGGACACTCACCATTCGGGGATCAGAGGCTACAACACTGGAAGAGTTGCCTGAGCTCTGCGGCTCCCCTTTCTTCTAAGCTCTAACACAAAGTCCCCAGGAGAAAGTTAACGATTCCAGTTAATGGGCAGCTTCCCCTTGCTTGGTCCTCCTGGGCACTGGACATCCCTGGATTTCAGGAGAACACTGTACAGCCTGTGGCACCAGACTGGATGGCAGAAGCAGAACAAATCAGGACCAAGTGAAATGTACTGCTAGAAGCTGCCCCGCGTGGTGGTGGGGGGAGAGGGGTCCTTCAGACCAAACCAGACCCAAACCTATTGCCACCAAGTAGACTCCAACTCACAATGATCCTATATAGGATTTCTGAGACTGTAAGCCTTTACGGAAGCAGACAGCCCCATCTTTCTCCTGAGGTGGGTTTGAACCTCCAACCTTGTGGTTAACTGCCCAATATTTATTCCACAGCACCACCAGGGCTCCTTGGGGAAGCAGGACTTTCCCTAGAAATGAGGTTCCTAGGAGCACAGAGGGAGCGAGCCAGAGCAGTCTTGACCAGGGCTGGTAACGAGAGAAGGTTTGGCCCTGTCTGCCCATCCTCCTCGGCATTAGGGAACAAAGGGCCAGTTATCCCCTACTGCCTTCTCTCCAGCCAGCAACAGCCACCAGACACCTCACTGTCCCCAGAGAGAGGTCCAGCCTCTGAGACCGAGCATTCAGACCCAAGGGTCCAGGGGGAAGACCTGGCCTTGAGGGTGTCCAGTTCACCCACTACCAGGAGGGAGGAGACAGACCTCTGCCCAGGATGCCAGCAATGATGGGTCTTCACCACCCTCGCCCCAATTAGGAGGTCCCGAGAAACAGAACATGGCGGCTGCTGGACTGGAGAACCCCCAGAGGTCATTGTCTTATAGGTGACAGAATAAATGCCCAGATTTGGGGCACGGGGTGGCCTAGACCTCTGCCACCTGTGTCCACTCTGCCTTTCACCCCCCACACCTGGACGTAGCAACGTTCTGCCTACTCAGGCTTACAACACTGCGCCTTTCATGTGGCCCATTTCAGGCCCTTTCAGATGCACCACCCTCTCTTAAACCCTGGTGTGGCATTGTCAGATAAGCACTGGACTGCTATCTGCAAGGTCGGCGCTTCAGACCCACCAGCCGCTTCTTGGTTACCCTATATGGAGTCATTGTGAGTTGGACCCAATTCAACAGCACTTCACAACAACAACGATAACTAACAGAAGTCCTGGCGTGGTGATGGCATATAAGAACTGAACTGCTAACCACAGGGTTGGCAGTTCAAACCCACCAGCCGCTCACAGGAAATCCTACACAGGGTCACTATGAGTCGGAATCGACTCGACAGCACTTAACAACAACTCTAAAGCCCTGTGAGGTCCAAGCCAAGTGTCACCTTTATGTTACAGATGGGAAAACTGAGGCCCAGTGAGAGGAAGGTCTCCTGGTCACACAGTGAGTCTGTAGTCAGGACTGGACAGTTGGACTGAAGCCCAAGCCATGATGGGGGTACCCCAGTCCTGGAGTGAGCACTCCCCTGGGATCTACCCTGATGAGAGCTCTGGCTTTGTCTCCCCCAAAATGTGTCCTTTCCATTTTGTGTTTGACCATGTTCACCTGGGCATTTTGTACAAGAGTTTCTGAATAAGAAAGAAAGAAAATGTCCACATGGTCTAGAGACATGGGTCCAGTCTGTGGCCACTGCTACTCACCTACAGAGTTCTGGTGTGGCGCTGTAGGTAAGATAAGAGCAGGGCCGCAAGGTTGGAGGTTCAAACTTACCTTGGAAACCCTATACTGGGTCGCTATGGGTTTGAACCCACGCAACGACACTTAACAACAACATTCACCTACAGCCAGCAGCTACAGGATTCAGAGGATTAGAAGGCCTGGACACATAGCTGGTTTTGTCTCTGACCTGGCCTAGCCCCCTCCCATGCTCTGAGCCTGTTTCCTCTTTATAAAACCAGAGGTCTTGTTGCATGGAGAGGATTGTAAATCTGCAGAAGAAACAAAATGTAGGATTTGTAGAATGTAAAGCTGATGGTCATGTCTGTAAACTTTTACTCAATTCACAATAAAAAGTTAAAACAACAACAAAAAGGACTAGAACAAGGACTCCCAGGGGCTCTTCTGGGATTTGAACAAAGGTGCCTGGCTTGTGACTCCTTTAAAACATCAAACCCAGCCAAAGTCTCCCTCAACCTCACCAAGGAGGTTCTGTAGTTCCCCAAGGTACCATATCCCACTGGGGTAGCTTGGCCTGGCCCTGCCACCCAGCTCACCCTGCCCTTGGAGACCACCCTCAACCACACATCAATCATTCGCCATCTCCCCCACCCACCCGCAGCAGCCTCCAGAGATAACATAACCTTGTGGTGGGTCTC